TGTGTGTGTGTGTGTGTGAGAAGAAGTGAGAGAATACCCTGTGCGCGAGCGCGTGTGTGTATATGAGTGTCTATGTACGTGTGTATAGACGTATATATACATACACCGTATCGGTCGTTGCTCTCGAACGGGGAGGGCACGAGCTGATCAATTTGCGTTACGTAATATAGCAAACAGACATTGCTAATCAATCAATTAATATCCAGGAACCAGAATGACCAATTCTGCGGCTTCAAGATAAAATGGAACGTCGCACAATCGGATGATTTTCTTTTACCCGTAAGCCACATGAAACAGTCGCAATCCAATGACGAAACACGAAGATGAATTTAATTTGAAAAATTGTGTGCCATTGATCAAAGGTTCTCATCGAAATTTCCGCTCTTACTGAAGATATTATCTTCGTGGCGATTTAACAAATCAACAATGAAAATTTTCAACAACGAAACATCGTCTCCCCGTTCGCACGAGCGTATCCGACAACGTGCGCATCGTGTCTCACTCGGCAAGTGCTCTCAAGACCTGGTGCAGTGCGTGTGCAAGTTGATTCGAACATTCCGTGTTTCTTATTTTTCTCAGGCAACAAGTCCGACCACATCATATCGTAATCGGCGCGTGCGTGTACGCACACGCGCATATGTGTATATGTGTATTCGTCTATTTCTAATTCAGCGAGTCCGAACAGGGTGGTCTCGTTCGACAGAGGCGAGGGTGGAAATCTATCTCGTGCGTTCAAACTGTACAGATCGGGGATCGAGAGGCAAACGAAGGGACCGGAGGGGCCTTCAGGTTCAAGACGAAAGCGTGCGCGAATCCGGCTAAAATTCTCTGTCATAGATTCGCCACTGTTCTAGCAACGGCGGCTGAATTTGGATTCGGATGATGAATCGATTATTTGTAGAACAACGGAGAAAATTTGATGCTAATTCCCTCTTTCAAGACATAAACGTTTTATCTTTGAAGAAAAGTTAATAAGATAAATCGAGGCGAAGTGAGTCTGCAAGCAAATCTCTGATTCAGAACTCAACATCCAAATCCATTCATCCGTCGTTATCGGTCGAGTTAGATAGACTGGAAGCGATGGAAAAATGGAAGAACGCGATAAATTTCCAGCTATAAAATTGCCTGTTACCGTGAAATCGAGAAGAACTGTCACTCAATACTCGCGTAAAATTATTTAAAAAATTACGATGAGCATTAAGCGAACATTCAAGAGTTGTTCCGCAATTTCGCGATAGCTGCAAATTTTATTTTATTCACCGTAAACTTATCTTACATTGTTCCATTCGTCCTGAAAATTTAGGTCTCGACACCGCTCTACTTGATTTCACATAGACGCAAGATGTTCTGTAAAGTCGATCTTTGCGTTCCGAAAGAAATATCGAGAGAAAGGGGAAGCTCGAGAGAGAAAGAGATCAAACGTCAATTTAAAAAAAAAAAAGAAAAAGAGGTGCTTCGGAACAACAAATGGACTCGCGTGCAGAGTTCATAGACGCCGAGAAGTCGCAATCCTTCCGGCATCTTCTCCTCGAAAATCTCGATTGTATCAAGCGGATGAAAGAAGTGCTAGGCGCCTTCGCCCTGCTACCAGTTAAAACATGGTATTAGCAAGGCGCAAGAGTCGAACGCACGTCGTGTAAATATGTGTTATGTGTGTGTCTGTGGAGGTCACATCGATGTTCGAACGTTCCCTTCACACGTTCTCGAGTATGTCTACTTCGAAAACGAGGACACAGCGGCAGCCATGCAATTAGTCGAACGAGGGAATCAGATAGACACCGGTTTTAGGATAAAAAATAAACGTGAGAGGAACAAGAACGCACATCTAAAAATAGACGGTAAAATTAAAGCGAATTGAAAAGAGAAAGAAACGATTTTCCCTTACGTAATCGACAACACACACGCGCTCTCTTAAATTAGTCAAATGTCAAGTATCCACGCTATGGAAATTGCTAATTAAATCGCACGTATGTACAAAATTCGCAGAAAGCTGCTACTTTATTCTATCAAATTTTTATCTTCGACGTCTCTCTGGCCATTTATCGTAACTAGAATTAATCGATTTAATTCATTGATAAACACAAAATGCTGAATTCTGTAAAAGTTTGTCCGATATCTCGAGAACCAACGAAAGTACTAATCACATTTACAAAATTAATTCATCGATGACACATCGAGGTACTAATTAAGTTGAATTCACGAAAGGAGGGCAATGACTGAATCAAGACCATGGAATATAGAAGTCGTCGAGAGACGAGAACGAAACAACAATTATCAAAAATCAGGATAACAAAGAAACGAGCATAAGACAGATGGTATGTCGCTAAAAAGGGAGGAGATCTTGCTGGGTAATATTCGGGAGAGCGGGGCAAGATAATTCGACATAGCTGTGTACACGTATTGATAAGTACAAGGATGACAGTTATACAGAGAAAACGATCAAAAAAAATCAGCAGGCAAGAACAACAATGTCCTCGTATAATAACGTGATATATATATGATACAGTAATTCGGTATATATTACGTACGCTGCTTGGACGCGACATATTCTCATTTACGACCTCGCGTATACGCTAACAAGAAACGAGACTGTTTGTCGATTGGTTAAAGTTGCCAAAAAAGGTCTCTAACGGATCTTACGCCAAAAAATGCGCCGGCTATCAAAAAGATTGGGGATCGCAAAACGCAAAAATAAACGGATGGGACACGGCAGCTCCAAAAATAAGACATAAATGTCAAATACCGTTTTTCAAATCGAAATATACTCGAGAAAATATTTTGCCTGTTGTTACATCAACTCTTTTGTATCATATACTTTTCTTAAAATACAATAATTTGCATTTATGTGCTTTTTAGAACTGTAGTGTTACAAGTCGAAAGCAGTTGGAGGCAACTCGAAGATTCGCAAGAATATTCCCGAGTCGAAATTTGGATTTTACATTAAACCTACAGACGACTTAATAGGCAAATGGAGAGAATCCCGAAATATGACACTATACAGGCTATCAGGTCCTACCATTGATATTTGATGCTACAAATATCTACTAACTGCTGTTTTCTTCACGTTGAGATGCTTAAAGAAGAACCTATTTAAGAATTATTTAATTATCCGATTATCTCGATAATCTACTTGAATCTAATCTTTATTCTTAATTTTAATAATAAATATATTAATTATATGATTTATTTAGATATATTTAGAATAACTGTAGATAGAGTAGATACGCGTGATGAGCAGAAATTAATAATTAATAATATAGATAAATCATAGGATTAATGGGTAAATTAAGCAACAAACTTTCTTTCTTCGTAATCTCTTTGTCGTTATTTCTGTTTTCATTGGCGTTGAAAATTTTAATGGGATTTGAAGATTCAAAGAAGGTGAGGAGGAAAGAGTTGCAAAGGTAAAAAACAGCACTCGTGTGTATAGTAATGCTAAATATTAGTAAAGATTTAATTTGAGAGAATTTAGTACTGCAATAAAGATAAATAGAAGAAAAAAAAACGTTGACAAATTCAATACGGGATTTACGACTCGAGGAGCATTATTAGACGCACAAATCGGAGAAATATATGCTAGATTTTAAATTTCGACTCGAGTATCTCCTTATTCTCAATAAGTTCGTTTATTCGTTAGACTCGAAAACATTCCGTATAATAAATGATTTGACACACCTGGAAGTACATGATGTATCGTTGCTCATCTCCTGCGTCTTAGCCTGCCGACCCAGCATCATCCTGTTTTCGGCTGATCCGGATCCTCCATCATTACACTAACACTGACACTGGCACTGACACTCGCGTAGATACGACTCGATCAAAGAAACACGTGTTCACGAACGCGTCAGTGAAACAAATATTTTAAGAGTCGGAATAGAAGTAACAACTCATACACTGACGTACTCTGAGTCGCGATACAAAATACGGCACAAAATACGTAATGATTCAGTCACGGAATATTTATTACTACACGGCACATGAGAATACCGTAAAAGTCAGCGAGAAAAATAAAATATTTCCCAATCGCGAATCGTCACCGCTCACCGATCGATAACGCACATATAATTTTGGCAATCAGGAAATCATAAAAATGAACACTTTCCAAACGTTTCAACAAATTCCACCTTAAATTTATTAACATAATCTCTTGTCACTTTTGTTTAAAGGATTACTGTTATTGTACCGGATTCAAATTTAAATCTCTCTATTGGTTTACGATATTATTGAACACACGATTGCTATCTTTATCCTTTCTTCTTTTCACTTCTCATGGATCACCAAGTCCATAAAAATCGATATCGATAAAAACAGATATTAAATAGAGATTATGAAAAAAAAAGTTTGTTTTATTATATTTATCCATTAATCATTATTAATGGATAAATGAATATTAATTAATTATAAATTAATGGTGAAATTAGATTATTTAATATTTACTTATCGCAGTTACTTTCTATTTATAATTGAATTAATTATATAATTAACACATAGCTTATTAAAATCCAAAATAACGACTGAATGTAAATAGAGAATATTGAGATAATCGGATATTAAATAATACCGAATATTAATTTTTTCTAAAAATTCTTATATCACAGATCCTGGAGTCATTTTGGGAACTCTCAACAAATCCGTTTAAAATCTTAACAAAACGAAAACATAATAAATAACCGTTTGTAATATTAAATAGCCTGTGTAGTGTTTTATCTCAAAATTCTTCATTGATATTTCAAGTTCGCGGAAATCCGCACGATATAGAACGGAAGATTTTGGCTCGGTTTGTTTCGAGACGGTTTTGAAATGTTTTGCTTCGCAAAGGGAATTTCGCAATCTCGATTTGCACGTCTTTTTGCTTTCGACCGAGATACTTTCGTCACTCGCGTCTGCTAAATCGGAGCGAATCGGGGAAAAACATTGGCAGTAAGTCTGATTAGTAAATCTTTGTCAGAGAAACTAAAGTGCACGTGGGAGAGAAACCGAGACGACATCGTGACACTTACCTTCATCATCAGGAGTAACGTGTTCAGTACGATGAGAATCATGATAAAATACTCGAATGGTGTGGATACAACTATCCTCCAAATTTTGTACTTTATGCTATTCCGCTCCTTCGGCATATACCTCTCGAGCGGCCGAGCTTGTATTGTAAAATCTATACAAGATTTCTGAAAGAACACGAATACAGGCGGTATTATTAGTCGTGCAAATGGATAGTTTTATGCATCTTAGGTAAAAAATCTGCGATTCCTACGATTAAAGATATGCAGGACATTTTGCGTATATATTCACACGATGAAATGAAAATTTGAATGCACCGTGTAATTTACCCAATTTTCGCGGATTGCCTGCGAAAGGTGAAATAAATAATTGACACGAGCAAAAGGACAATTCACACGAGGCGTCACCTGATTCTTATCGATTTCACCGTCCTGCAGTTCAGCCTCTCCCTGCTCCTGGAACGTGATAATGATCAAGGCCACGAAGATGTTGACGAAGAAGAACGGAAAGACGATGAAGTAAACAATGTAGAAAATGGACATCTCGATGCGAAAGTTCTGGATGGGGCCCTTGTTCTCGTACGTGGCCGCCATCGAGTTCTGCAGGACCTGCGGCCAGCCCTCGCCGGTCTGAACAGCGAACAACGTCAGCATCGCTACCATCACGTTGTCGTAGTGAAAAGACTGCGATTGCCATTTCCGTTGCTGAAGCTCTGGTAGCATAGAATCTTCCTCGAAATAGAAGTATTGACCACTGTCGGGGGAAACATTTGTACCGTCATTTCATCAGACGCGCTATCCGGGATAACCGAACAGGGTGTACTCACTTGCATTCCTCCTTCGTATACTTGCTCTCGTCGGTGCAGAAGAAGAACTTGCCGTTGAACAGCTGCACCGCGATCACAGCGAATATGAATTGGAACAATATGTACACTATGAGAATGTTAATGACGTTCTTGAGACTGTTCACAACGCAGTCGAACACCGCCTTGAGCTTCGGCACGCGCTTTATCGTCTTTAGCGGCCTGAGCACCCGCAGTACCCTAAGCGACTTGATGGTCGAGAGGTTCTGGCCGGCCGAGCTGCCGGACATGTCGAACGCGAACGACACCATCGCGCATATCACGACCACCGCGTCCATAATGTTCCAGAACTCGCGCAGGTACGAGCCCGGGTGCAGTATGATGCCGAGATCGATGATCTTCAGCACCATCTCGATGGTGAAGACGCCGGTGAACGCGTAGTCGAAGTAATTGAGGATCTTGTTCCTCGGCGCAAGCTCCCAGACAGGGTCCTCGGCGGCTAACGCGATACTCGACAGCGATATCACTATCATTATGAAGAAGTCGAAGTACCGAAGGTTGACGACCCAGTGGGCGGCTCTTCTTATGCTGCAAACGCAAGCGCCCGTGGTAAAGTTATTTCTCGCGGCGCAGAGAGAAGAAAGATTTGAACGAACTTACGGATTCGTAGGGGACAGTATAAACATGGAGGAGTATGGCAGCATTGGTTTTGGTCCCGTGTCGTCGTCTTCATCCTGCTTCTTCTCTTCGGACACCTGCTTCTCACCTTTTCCGTCTTTGCTGAAAAAGACGAGACACGTTCTCTTCACCGTCGGCCTGCTCACTTATCCGCACTATTTTATGCTACCGAATTAATTACAATTAATTCAGTAGCATAGAATGATGAATTTGATTCAATTACGCCGATTCCATGAATTTAAGTCGGGCAAATTTAAATTGGATCTTCGTATTAAAAAATTTAAAAACATCGGCTTTACATAGCACAATTCCGATCACAATGTTTACGATTATATGGAGAAATTGAAGTCGAGCAAAAAGACGATCTCGACGTGAAGGCGACGAGGAGAAAGGGAGACTTACAAATTCTGGGTTGGACTTGGAGGGCAGATTTCCACCTTCGGCGCGCCACCGTCCCCGGGCTTCTGCAGCGACTCGATCTCCTTCTCGAGCTCCTGTATCTGCTTCTCCTTGTCCTCCTCCTGCTCCTCTTCCTCGGCGGCGCTCAGTTCCTGCGCGTTTGCGAGATTGTCGACGGCGATAGCCAAGAAGACGTTCAGCAGGGTGTAGTTGCCGAAGAGCACCAGCACGATGAAGTAGAGCGAGTAGGCCATGCCCTGCGACTCGACACCCTGGTACATCACTTCGTTCCAGTCTTCTCCAGTCAGGACCTGTGCGATTAATTGCGAGTCAGTCGGATATCTTTGCAACGAACCACATCATTTGCTTCCGTTCAGCTTTATTTACTTGGAAGACAGTGAGTAGTGCGATGGGAAAGGTGTTGAAGTTGGTGGGCGGCGTGCCGCTTTCGAAGTTGAACTGGCCGCCGAAGAGCTGCATACCGAGCAGCGCGAATATGAGGATGAAGAGGAAGAGCAAGAAGAGAAGGGAGATGATGCTGCGCATCGAGCTGAGCAGCGATATCACGAGGTTCCTCAGGCTCTTCCAGTATTTGGTGACCTTAAAAATTCTCAGGAGTCTAAGGGCACGTAGGACGGAGAGGCCGAAAGAGCCGGACTTCAACGCGGTCCAGATCACCTCGAAGATCGAGCCTAAGATGACGATGCAGTCGAAGCGATTGAAGCTCGATTCGAAGTATGTGCGAGGACCGAGCGCGTACATCTTGATGAACATCTCCATCATGAAGAGGGCCAGGAACACAAACTCTGCGTAGACTGTAAACAGAACGGACAAAGTTCGACGTAGAGAGAAATTCGTTCGTCGACTCGGCTTCCTCAGAAATATTCACGTTTAGATACGTTCCATTTTTCTTTGCTCAACAATTCAAACATTATCAACAACGAACTATGAATAAATATTTATCGCAGAATTCCACAAGAAAATCTCGTCATATGATTGACAGATATTTGTGTCACTTAAAAATTAAATCAGTTTCCTCCCTTATTCAATTTGCCGAAAAGAGATTCAATAAACTTGACCTTGACATATATTCAATTTTAATAAATTCAGTCCCGAAGGGAAATTACGTTTCGTAGAGACGTTACAGCGTTATTTATCATTGCTATTTCATCTTAGCGTGTTCGAAAAAAAAAAAGAAAGGAGGAGTACTCACAGAGGAAGTCGGTGAGCCACTTCGGCTGATCGTAATGCTCAACGGCCACGCAGACAGTGTTGAAGAACACAAGGACGATGACGAACCAATAGAATTGCTGCGATTTGACGGAGTTCCGTATCCAGAACCTGAATTGCTTCTCGGCTCGCCAGAATTGCAGGCAGGTGCCCTGCTTCTTCACCTTCGACTTGAAGTAGGAGGTTCTCGAGAACCCTATAAAGTAGGAACGTGCATCGTCAGAAGCGCGGGACACAAATCGGTAGCACGACGCGAGCCAGTCGATCGATTAATTGCGAACGGCATCGTCATCACTCTTACATCGACGTGAATCATCACCAACACTTTCCGTTGGACTTGCCAATACTTTCAGTACTATACCTTCGTTCGGTCTCAAAGCTAAGCTACTCTCGCGGCTACGAACTGAAAAATCTAGACTCGCGCGATTCAGAAAAAATACGACGGTCTCTACGTTCGGTTTAAGATCTTCCCGAGTCCGAATAATGTCTAGCGATGTTCTCGCCGGAAGTTCTCGTCGGGAAGAAATGGATATCGCGCGATCGGAAATTGAACGGTTCTAGATATCGACACCCCCCGATCGTTTTATGCGCCGGCTGGAAGAGCCGGAAAATCATTTTCCCCTTTCCGCTCAACGGGAGTTGTAAGAGATAGAGATGTAGATACCAAAATTCTATGCTAAGTTATTCTACGTTCTAAGCGGATACAACTATGTGTGTATATGGCGATATGTATGTATATTATGGCTACTCGACAGCCAGTAACGGTCTGTCCGGTAAACTCTATGGGAATGGACTCACAGTACCACTACTCGGGGGAAGAGGGCGGGAGGCTAAATCCTCAATCGACAATACTAAATATACTCTACGATTCGGTCAGTTCGTTTTCACTAGCTAAGATTAAATCGATAAAAACATTAATCAGTACCCCACCACCACATGGTACGCCTAAGTCATATAGACATACTTCAGCCGAGAACACTCGCGCTTAAATGCAATGAAAGGGGAAATCAAAAGCTACGATTATTACTTCATATCGTCGAGGAAAAAGAAAAGTACATAAAAAATCTGGAACATTTTTAAGTGTTCTACTTATAAAAAATATAAACTCACGCACAGAGAAAAAGTTAGCCGTAGGAGCTAAAATCTAGCCGTGGCAGTTAAATTAGGGACAGCTAATGTCCTTGCTATCGCAAAGAAATTTATCAGCTGTAGCAGCATTAGCTGTTAGAGGTAAAACGCATTTATTGCAACTTTATTGTTCTTCCTAACTTTGATTCGAACAGCTAATAAATTCAGCTGCGGTAGCAACGACATTAGCTCTCCTATTTTAGTTTCTATGGCTAATTTTTCCTTCGAGTGCAGAAATCTAACAGGAGATCAGAGACGTGAGCAGTTTGAAGTAATCTCATCGGAAATTTTAATCGCGCGAGCGTTCTCGACCGCAAAGAAAATATAATATTCATATATCGTCACACCAGCCACAATAGAAGCAATACCTAGAAAACGAAAAACGAATTAGCACTCGAGCTCTCCGATCTGTCTGTCTCGCGATAATGCCCGCGCGTGATACTCGAGTTGATACATGTCAGCCACAAGTCAGCAGCAAGTCGTTTCTTAGTTATAAGTTGCAGACAGTGCATATAATAGTTACATCTTCTACCACGCACGAGTAATCACAACACGTAATCCACCGGCCCTTACTTTACCGTCAGTCTTTATCATCGCACAGCCGACTCTCTCTATCATGCTTTCTGCGCGCTCACAAATCGCGACTTTAATGCTCATACTGCGATAAATAATAATCTAGCTACGTGGAGACGATTACATTTCGTCTGAGTGTGTAAAGTATATTAACTTCGCGACGAACGATAATTGTGTGTGTGTGTGTGTGTGTGTGTGTGTGTGTGTGTGTGCGTGCGTGCGTGCGTGCGTGCACACATGTGTATTAACGCGCTTAAGATCACGTAGATATTAAACGAATGGTATTAACAAGCACTTCAACTCATTACATCTATTCTCGCGCGAGAGATATTTCGTTTTTTTCACTGTTAATTTCTTTCTAAAGTTTACATCGGCACGAATGTCGACCGAGCCGAAAAATGGCGAATATCCGAGTATCTTTAAGAATTAATTTTCGATTAATCATCTTTGGAGCTAAAGGTAGCAAACGAGGTAAAAGTTAAGCGCTTCATCATGAGAGTTAAATCTTCACTTCATCTTAAAATCAAGCGCGATAAACGTGTGACTAATTGATACAGCTTTGTACCGTACACGAAATACGCGTGAAATCATTTATTTGCCAAGCGACAATTCGCGTTTCTCTAGCCATGTAGATGTGGTACGCGTGATATTATTTGTATACGTGTGTGTTACCAACGAAAAGAAGTAGAAAATCTCTCACAAATAAAAAGATACGAAAGAAAGGAGGAAAACGAACAAAAAGAAACGATTATACAAGATTACGAGTACAGCCTTGTGAGATTACGTTGCTCATTGCGATAAGTCGTGGCATTCACGGTCGTAGTTACCTTTGAGCTTTTTCTTAGGCACTGAAACAAGAGGAGCATCTGATAGCGTGTGTTTAGAATGTTCATCGTCAGATTTGTTGGGGGAGGGAGGGCTTTGAAAGAGCGTCGCTCTTTTTTCTTTTCTCTTCGACGCGAGGGAGAGAAATCGTCAGGCATAAATTGATGTCGAGCGTCAACAATACGTCGGCGAAATGTGAATAAACGCTAACGTGCCAATAAATATATAGAGAAAAATTTCAGAACGAGAGAAAAGGCGGGCCAAAGTATCGCGCCAACAATTTCCTTCGTAATGTCAAGCGATCCTTGGGAAATACACAATGCGCGATTTTCATCTCGACGGACATGCGAGGAACTCGCTTCTGCTCGTCTCGCTCTTCGCGGCTCGCAGAAATTTTATGTTCTCGTCTCTACGATTACAAATCACGATTACGTCTCACGAACCGTTTTATACCATCATTAGGAAATTGTTGGCTGCTAACATAGGTTTCTGACTACTGAGAATCGTGAAATCCCTCACTACTTGAACTTCGTTTCGACTTCACAACACGAATTCGTTCGAACACTTTGAGAAGAGAAAGAGAGAGGAGGAAGAGAAAGAGAGAGAGAGAGAGAGAGATGTCGTCAACTTTGAATGTAAAGAAGTGAACGAGAAGAGAATATACAGTGGGCCCACCGAGTAGGCGAAATACAACTCACCATCGTCCTGATCTTCCTCGCCCTCCTCCTCTTCCGTGTCGGTGCTCTTGCTCTTGCCGAGATTCTTCAGCTTCTTCTTTTTGGCCGCCGCTCTTCTTCTTACTGCGCAACATACGCACACATATACATGTACACGCATATAGATATACACACACAGTGAGAGGGAGAGAGAGGCGGATCACAAGTAGTGGCAAAGTTTCTGCATCTGATTAATTAAAAGATTACGAAACGCGAACATCTTCCGAATACGACCGATGTGTCTTTCGCGAATAAGGAGAAAGAAGAAGAAGGAAAAGATCCGGACGCGTCAAAAAGAAGGACGAGAGAGAGAGCGCGCGCGACGGAACACCCTGTATAAATATGCACGAGAGCGTTTCGGAGAGATGCGGCTCTCTCCTCTCGCAAAACTTTTATCGACTTTACGGAAATGAATATTCATGCGAGGCCGATATACATTTCGTTATATGGACCTTCTAATATGTGCATTTTCTCCTCTTCCGTGGTCCTTTCTTCGGCGAGTATCACCTCCTCTGAAAAAAAAGGTAAACGGGTATGCGTTAACAATAACTGGCACGGCGGACTCGTGGATCTAGCTTACGCAACAAGCTGCAACTCGTGCAAGTGCGCGCTCTTGTTCGCGAAACAGACCAATTAAAATTGATCGGACGGGCATCCGTGTGCTCGCGAGATTTCCAATATTCGAGTCGCAGAGCGAAAAAAAAAGCAAAGGACAGAAAGAGTCTTTTTCTTTGCGAGAAACACGCCGAAAAAAAGGCGGTAATTTCGCGAAATGAGGGAATTTTGGTATGTATTTTTCTTTCATTCCTTTTCTTGCGAAACGAATCCCCGTCGCGACTTCTTTTTAATTCGCATATTTCCTCGCTAGGTCGAATCCTACGACGATCGGTCTAACCTGCTTTGCAGATCCAATTCAGGTAACAATTCAATTCGCGCTCGAGCTGCTGCTGTCTTCGCAACTTCAGGAAGGACTGCCGGTTCTCCACTTTCTCTCTCTCCTTCGCAAACTCTCTACACAAGCGTGATACAGGTGACATGGAAGCTTACTCGGCAGTACTTTCATAAGGGCTAAGTTTAGCGTGGGACTTTCTGGCGTTAGTAGATATCCTGGCAATACCGGCGTGCTTAATAAGCTTGCCGTACTTATGTGCTTAACGGGAATAGCATCGGATACTTCTTAGAAAGGTCGGTCTCTCTCTTTCTAGCGTAATACTCGTCTCGCGAATTTCTTCGACCTAGCTCGCATTAAAACCAACTGCACGCGGGTTTACGGCCGATTTTTAATCGTCAACTACTTCCCTGGCATTTCTCCCTTTCTAGCAAAAATCAACCATCGCCAGCAAAATTGACCATTATTTGGATAAATTTCTATTCAGTAAGTTGCACCAATATTCAAGACGTTCGAGAATTGGTAAACGCCGTCCGGGTTGATTTTTGCACCGACTCATTTTCGCTTCAGCTTTGGAAGCCAAGAAATGCGTCAAGAGGGTACAACTTATCACACGCTCGTATTCGAGGCAACGTTCACTAATGAGAGACCTGCTTGAGTGATCCACTTTAAGTAGGAACTGAACGCAGTCGTGAAGAGCTGCTTGCTCTTCGCTTTCCGATAAGCCGCCCGGCGTTCGACGCGCGTTCTTTGGTTCGAAAACTCCCTGACGAGGAAAGAAAGCGATTCTGTCAAGTGGTCGGTCACACGATCTCTCCTCCCGATCGATCTTCTCTCGCGGTTTCGCGCGTTATCGGGCACATAGTGATCGCCGGTACTCACCCGCTCAAGACACCGAGAACTAAGTTCAGCATGAAGAATGATCCAAGGACGATCAATGGTATAAAGTAAATCCAGTTGTACATGCTGCCAAGAGCGTCGTTCGTCTGCAAATTCGACCAGAATGAAGTGCCATGTGTGCATGTACGCCGCGATTACATACAGCTCTGAGCGGTAATATCAATTAATTAACGGCAAGAGGGCGATTATGCGAGACACAGAGAAACACTGGGCTGTATTATTTCCGCTGACGCTAAATGCGCGACGCCGAGTGCGGTCGTCCGAGGCCGGGAAGACGACCGTACTTGCGTACGAGAATACTTCGAAACCATCTAAAGTAACCTGAGAGAAAAAGGGGAAATTTTTCGAATCGGTTTGAAGGACCGCGAGTCGATTCGATATACCTATTATCACGGATACGCGAAATACACGATCGGAAAAAGAGGTAGGAGATCGGCCGTCGCGAGACTTTTCGAAACATGGCCCTTCTTGCCCCGACTTTTCTTCCAGGTTGCCTAACTACGATCAAATCGAGACGGTCGAAAAGTCGTCTCAAAGTCTCAATAAACAGTTAACAATAAGTGATGTCGTTACAGCCGGCGGAGCGACGATCGGAGGGCTTTTTCAAGGCTTCGCTGCTCTCTCTCTCTCTCTCTCTCTCTCTATCTATCTATCTATCTAACGATAGCCCTCCGCGATCCATCGGCCGAACGTTAACCCTTTCGTGATCAGCGAGACAAATACTTCACGGCAAAAAAATCTTTTCTTTTTAATAAGCTTCCGCACACACTTAGCGCGCATTCCAGTTCGGAAAAAGCAAGGAGATAGAGAGAGAAGACGAGATTTCGGCTCGGTCACAAAAGGGTTAAACACAATGAAAGGTAATACAATTAACATCAATATTGAAACATTGAAAAAAGAGGGCTGGTACTGACAGTGTTATACTGAGCAAGGTGAACATATACGTCAGTGTTAGCTGTTTCCGCAGGCATTCCTTCGTCTAAAGCCGAATCACGCCGGCGTACGAAGGGGGCGGGATGATACGAAACACACAGAGATCGCTCGGCGATTAATTGCGAAAGGAATAAACATTTAGGCCGGCAGGAGATACATATATATATATATATAT